TGTACCCTCCTCTATTACAGAGTCCACAGTAGGTATTGCAAAAACTTAATGGGCTTTATTTCTTTGTTCCACCCATATTTTTTATATCATCATCTCTATTACACAAAGTAAACACTTCTCACTTCATGTCACCTGGCAAGTTTGAACTTGTCAGGGATCAAAAATTAGAGACTTCTCGATTGGTGAACCTGGTACAGTAATGGACAAGTTATTTAGCTATATTACAAACTGGTTATTTCCATTAATTCCTCCTTTACCTTTTTATACCCCATTAGTTGAGTTCAGCCTTGAACCAGAGCTGTCCATCTTCCTATTCAGGCCTCATTCATCTCTGTGGATGTATTTAATTAAACAGCAACCAAAATCTTCGTGGATTGCCTGGAACCTTACACTGGATTTTATCTGTCAGGAAAAAAAGTGTATTTGGAAAGGAAAATACTCTCCACGAGCCAAGTCAGATTGCCCGTTCTGAAGAGACACAAGGTACTCATGTGGGATTTCATCTCCTTTTCGTTTGCTGATTGAAACACTATCTTTTACTGCACAGATTAAAGGGTGCTGATGAACAAGCAAACACTAAAGGAAATTGAACCTGTTACTTCCTCAGTAACTTCTCATCTAAATTTTACTTCAGTGGCCAGAAGTAATGCAGATAATATCTTTTTCTCAAGGCAGACCTTACCATAAACTTTTGACTTCACCCGTACTACAAAACCCCAGCCAAACACAAGTGAACAAGACGTTTAGTTGGAGGAAACTGAAAAGTTGCCTCTTCTGCAACCCTGTTCCTCTCTGCTCTTGGACACTTACCCTGGTATGAAGGCATCTCTTTCAGACTATGAAAAGGAAGCTGGAATAATGTGGAAATAGAATATTCAGTCTGAAATAAGATCTTTACAAGTAATTTTCCCATTCATCTTATAATTTAATTTCTGTACTGCTTTGTTTCCCATTATTAGTCAAAAAAAACCAAGAAGCTGCTTATATACGTCACATTAAAATGATTTATTTTTCCTAAACTGTGTTCTTTCAATGTCTGTGTTTTAGCTGTGCATATACATGTATTTTGCACTTTGGCAACTGAATTTTACATCTTAAAATAGACTGGATCAGGCCAGAGCCTTCAAACCCACATCAATCATGTTTAAACTCTATTACTGAAAATCCATATATACTCTTATGTTATGAACATTTGTGTGAATTATTATTGAAAGCAGAAAGAATAAGAATGGTCATGGGTGGAATAACAGTATAACAAGAACGTTTTAGAAAGAAAATATTTACACATTGAAAAAGCAGAACAAATTTTGAAAGTACAACAAGTTTCTCAAACTTTGTTGAAGAAATAAATAACCTTTACTGTTCAAGTACCCCTGAGGATTTTGTAGTTCTTGTGATTGATTTAATATCAAAAGACCATTGGGTCTGTGATAAACTGTCAGAGGGCCCTGGGAGGAGGACAAGGAGCATAGGGAGCTCCTTGGGTTCAAGTGAGTTACGGACCAAAGGGTGGAGTCATCTCTTGAGGTAGAGCTGTTGAAAGATTTGTTACCAGAGACATTTCTGGACATGTACTCCAGAATTCCAGATGTTGGGATGATGAATCACACTCCCTTTATACTGTAGTTTTCTTTGTCCTGGTCTGGTGCTCGTGCCGAATTGTTAGAAGAAATTGCACACTGTGCCATTATATGGTTTCTGAACTGAGGAGATGCTTTTTTTACCCATTACCCTACTGATCCTGTTTTTTTCTTTCCATTCCCAGCTCTGGAGTTTGAATGCCTCAGCTGACTTAGGAAGGGATTTAGTCATCTAATGTGGGTTTCTAACATGATATGTGGCTCTGGAAGTTATTTCCCACAACTTTCAGCTGTTATTCAGAGGGCTTTGCTATCTTCCAAACTTATCTGCATGGCTGGAGCATCCCAGGTGGTAAAAGGTACTTAGGGTGATACAACTGAATTTCTCAACCTTTATCACAAACTGAAGTTCATCCCTTACCTTGCAATATTTGACGTCTACCTATGCAAGTAACACATCTGTGTCCAGGCTTCATTTTTGTTGCAGTGTTCAGACATCCCCTTAGCCTTGGTGCTCTATCCTGACTTGGGTAGTCCTTGCCTTGTCTGTAGTCTAATCTAGCTCTGGAACTCTACAGAGACTACTTAAAGTTTCAAAGCTTGCTTGCTATCTTCAGAAAGAGTCTGAGACCTTGCTTTGGCCTGTGATTACTAGCAAATCACGTTTCAGACTCAATATGCCCTTAAAAAAGTTTACAACCCTTATTTACAAGCTGAACAAGACCCACAAGACTCCATATGGTCCTTTGGTCTACATCCAGAAGCTAACCCTGACTTCCAAGAACAATTCTCTGGGCATGGATGACCATGACTTCACACTGATGACATGTGAGAGAAGTTGTCTTCCCTAATAGAAATGCTGTGATTGTAAAACCTGTACGTCTGCAAGCTGGAGTCCTTGAATAAGGCATGGGGAGTATGAGGGAGCAGTGAAGAGGGCCCAGTCCAAGATACAATGCAGTAATGCACTATGGTGAGTATTAAGCTCTTTCAAATCGCTAAGTACCAATGGGATTTGTTCCACTATAGGATTTCTGTAACATGTAGAAAGGCTGGAAGGCTTGCTCCAAACTGTGTGAAAATCACTTCTAGCTGAGTAATTTTTTCTGCAAGGTATGGAGAAGCAGGAATCAGTTCTCCTCCGTTTGACTCCTTCCCTTCCTCTGTCCATTTGAATGGAAACCATCTTAAAGTCCCAAAGTTTCTGAAAACTTGCTAGTGGGACTTCTTAAAGAAAATGAGCCTACGTCAGATAACTTTTGTTGCCAGCTGAGGGAGAGAAGCACATCTGGAAGCTTAGTCATACCACAGTAGGTCTGGGTGGATGGTACAAGTTTGAACAAAAGTAGCTTAAGAATACAGAACTTGTACTGTATGTCAGTCTTTGGGGTGTAGTCACTCAAGATCTGGAGCATGTGTCCCTCCTGGAGTTCAGCTGGTTCAGTCAAGAAGTTTAGATGGCTGAGTCCAAGGCCAGCTCCTTTGCCAATATGAGCTGTTGAGAAGAAAGCAAGAAACAAGGGCCTGTCCCTGCTGTTACCCAACTTGCTGGGTGACCACGGACTGTGCCTGATCCCGGTCCCTCTTTCTGGAACCAGTTCTGACCCTGAATTACCCTCCAGCATCCCAGCTCTGTGTTCGTGAAGTCACTGCTCCCGCCCACCCAACTGGTGCATTTGGCTCCCAGCTCCCCTTCCCTGGAGCAGCAGCTGGTCTTTGCTGCTCCCTGAAAGGGCCTCCACACTCAAATCTTCTGGGCCTGTCCAGCCTCAAGAAACCAGTGGAAACATAGTGCCCCAAATAGCTCCATGGATTTGTACCTAGAACCACAGTCTCTGCACACCTCAGTTCCTACCCTTTCTGAGCTTGCACTTTAAAAGAGGTCCAGACTCAAGGGGGTTGACATCCTCCAGAGATGCTCAGAGGAGAGATACTGGAGGTTCAGTACCTGAAAACCACTCACTGGCACAAAGTCATGAGTCTGTGAGAATCTTCAACTGTGCATCCAGCTGGACAGAAGTTTTGGGAAGGTGAAGCTGGGTTAAGAGGTCAGCAGCTCAGTGGTTGTGGCCATTTTTGACCAAGTGTGCCACTTACTCATCCCCTGTGCTGAGGAAAGGATGATCCAAGAGGCAAGAAGATGTTCCCTGGCTGCTCAGATGCAGCATGTAACATCTACACATGGGACTCCTTTGCCTACCCATAAGCATCAGAACTATTGGAGACAACACAGAGTGTTCCACCAATTCCTGAAGGTCAAGTCATGGGTCTCATCTGCCAGCAGCACACAAATGTGTGTTCACTCTCTTCCTCAGAGAACCTTCTGTCCATGGTTGTACTGATATCAGACATACTGTGACAGAACTTGAACAAAGGCAGAACCTGGACAAAGGCATCTTGAACTGCCTGTGCTGGTCACGGCTGTCACACTGTCAGCACAGCCCTTGGAGTGGTCTGATCTGAGAATCACACCAGTCCTGAGAGGTAGATTGAGGGAAGCTGCCCAGGTCTGCTGGACAAGCAAGAGCTCAGTGCTCTGCACACTCCCAGTGAGTGAAGGGCAGCCAGGATGTGCTCTGGGAGCAACATATCTGATGTCAAATGCAACTTGGCCCCTTGAGTGTCTAGACACCATCAGTGAGGTGGGTTGTCTCAGCCAGGGGCTGGTGCCAGGGAGGGACAAGTGTGGGTTGGCTGGGAGGAAGGAGGAGATGCACCATCCCAACTCAGCCGGTGAGAAGAAACACCCAGGTCAAATGTAGTATATTTGGTATATATATGGAGCTTGTCTGGCAACTCTTCCCACTCCTCAGCTGGCCAGCAGGCCAGTTTTGCTTCTTTGCAATCCACTGCCTGATTAACAGCCTGGCACTAATCAGTGAATGGACCTCCAAATCTGTAGCCAGCGCTGCAGTCCTGGCAGGGGACAGGTTCCTGGGGGTCGAGTGCCATCTCCCTGGGTGGCACAGAAGAGACTAGTCTGATTGCAGGGGCCCTTGGAAGCCGCTGCCCATTGTGTCAGATGTGAGGACAGAGTGGAAAGGCCTGGCGGGGAAGATTTGGAAGACTCGGTCCTGCCGAGGGCTCTGCGGTCCAGTCCGTGGCCGTGCTCGGATCAGTCTGATGCGGGAGGACGCTCAGCCTGTGCGATGCCGCGACCCGCAGCACAGCGGGAAGGGGGATCCAGGGACCCGGTCAGATCCCCTCGACCGGGTATGGCCCCTCACCCTTCCCCATCCCACAACCTCCCAGGCTCCCCGATATCCAGGATCCCCACAGCCCGCACGGAACTCAGCGCCAGCTGCTCGGAGGAGGTTTGCAGTGCTCTGTCTCCGCCCCCGGCCCTGCCTCTCCGTCGGCCCGTCCGTCCGTCCGGCTGCCCCCGCCTCTCTCCATCACAGTCACCCCTCAGCTGACGTAGCGCTGCATCTCCCTGTCTGCCCGGACACCTCTCGCTCTGTCTTTCCATCTCTCTCTCCCTTCCTCTTCCATCTCTCCCTCCGTCAGTCGCTCCCTGCTGGCTCTGGCCTTGGTTCTGGTGAGTGTCTGCTTGATTGTGTTTCACTTCATTATTCTGATCCTGTTCTCTGTGCATTGTCCCTGTTTACTGGGGAGCTGGTGCCTCGTCAGTCCATCCCCCTGACCATCCCTCACCCCTGTTCCCCCCAGGACTTATACCGTATTTGCTCAGGCTGTCCACCCTTACAGCATGATGGCAGGGTAGGGATGTTTCTGGTGCTTCCACCCTGACATCCGAGAGCAGAAACTGGGGAAATTGAGGCAAATGTGTCTGAACCAGAGACATTTGGAAGGGTTTGGGATGGAGGGCATTCCCTTTCACCTTCTGGCATTGGCCTGAAGACAGCCAGACATCACACCTTCCCCCCTCTGCCTTTCAGGGAATTGCTCTGCAATCATGGAATACCTGAACCTGACCTCATTTCTCTCTCCATCATATTCCCATTATTATCTGGACTTTCAACCTGCCCTCACAAACTACTCCATGAACATATCCTCAAAATAGCTATTCCTAGTGCAGCTGCATTCACACAAAACTGTTTGTGATGGGTACCTGCCCATCCATCCATTTCAACAAAAATTCTTATGTCTCTCTGATTGTCCACCCATACATCCATCTGTCCTAAAATTAGCCTTGACTGCCAGTCCCTTCCATCCATGCCCCCATCCATCCACCTATCCAGTCTTTCTTTCACACCTTCTCCCCTTGCTATCTCTCATTTCTCTGGCGAATGACATGAGCTAGCAATGTGTGCTGGCAGTTCAGAAAGCCAACTGCATCCTGGGCTACATCAAAAGAGATGTGGCCATCAGGTCGAGGGAGGGGATTGTCCCCTTCTGCTCTCCCCTCATAAGACCCCACCTGGAGCACTGTGTACAGGTCTGGGGTCCTCAGCACAAGAAGTCATGGACCTCTTGAAGAGGGTCCAGAGGAGGTCATGAAGATACTCAGAGTGCTGGAGTACCTCTACTCTGGAGACAGGCTGAGATAGCTGGGGACTTTTACCCTGGAGAAGAGAAGGCACTTGGAAGACCTTGTTGTGGCCTTTCAGTATTTAAACGGAGCTTAGAAAAACAATGTTGTGCAACTTTTACATGGGCAGATACTGGTAGGTTGTGTTAGATATTAGGAGGAAATTCTTTACCCAGAGGGTGGTGAGGCCCTGGCACAGGTTGCCCAGAGAAGCTGTGGATGCCCCATCCCTGGAAATGTTCAAGGCTAGGTCGGAGGGGGCTTGGAGCAACCTGGTCTGGTGGAAGGTTTCTCTGCCCATGGCAGGTGGCTTGAACAATCTTAAACCATTGATATAATTCTGTGATTCTTCAAGATTCTCCCATGGTGGGGATGTGCTGCTGAACTCTGCATTGCAGAGACACTCCTGGTGACATCCCAGTGCTAATGAACAGGCATATCTGAATCTCTGGGTTTTCTCTGGCTGTGCACAGTGGGTTAAGGCTTCCCCCTATGTGTGTAGGAATGGGCAAATGACAAGGGATCATCAAATAGGGGCTACCTGGTGTGGATCTCTCCTCTTACATAAGACCTTCCTTCTCTGCAGGTCTCCGGAAATGTGGCATCAAAGCTTTGGACTTATAGGAAAATCCTACACCCATGACAGTGAGCTGGGGATCAGACAGGGATGTCTGGGGGATGTGGGGTGCTCCCAAAGTGGAACAAAGAAAGGAGGAGGTTGGGCAGCCTTAGACGGAAATAGCTGGACTGGATCTTCCCAGAGTGAAACTAGGATGGGAACAATCAAGAGCACTTCCACAGGAAATGGATGGGAAACAGAGACCTGGAGGAAAAGGGAACCTGAGAGGGTGGGAGGCAAACGCTGTTCTGTGCCAGGCTCACACTATACCCTTGCTAACATTGGTCACCTGGTCTTGGTTTCCAGAGTGGGAGCAGCCAAATATTTGAAACAGTCCGAAGCACCTCTTTGTCCTTCATGTGTGCCTGATGGAAAGTTTGCATGTCTCTCTACAGCAACAGGATCCTTTTTGCTGGGGAAGTGGCTCTACATGCCCCTCTGCTCAGTACCTCTGTGTAGTGCTGTGGTAGATGTTGCTATCCAGGATTATGTGGCTGATGTGGCCTCAGAACTCACGTACCAGAACAAGAGTTCCATCTCCACAGAAGTCCTCTTTGTCTTCCCCCCGGGCCCACAAATGTCCATATACTCCTTCCAGTCCTGCAGTGAGGATGCCAAGGTCCAGGCCATGCTGCAGGATGAGGTACCAGTATCCAGGGATGAATGGGCAAACCACCACAGGGGTGTGGGAGGAGCAACCCATGGTCTGCCTGGTGATCAGCTTTCTGTCCTTCTCCTTCTCACCCAGGCCCAGCAGCTTCATGAGGCTACAGGGAGCTGGGAGAACCTGGAATACCTTCAGGATCAGTCTAGGTATCCAGGCAAGGTGTTTGCCTGCTTCCTGGGCACACTGTCCCCTGGCAGGGAGCTGGTCGTGACACTACGCTATGTCCAGGAGCTGTCACGGGAGCCAGACGGAGCAGCCCGGTTTGTGCTGCCACAAACACTGCACCCCTACACACAACTCTACGGTGAGTGATCCTACAAGGAACCTGCCGCCCCAGTCACACACCACATGAAAGGGCCACAGGGTCCCCATGTATTTATGAACAGACCTGATGGAACTTCACTTTTCATCTGTAGAGGACCCACATTTTCCCCCCGTGCAGCCTCCAGACAGATCCACATAACTTTCCTTGTACCCCAGGAGGGGATCCATACCTCCCACACACATTTCCCATAAACAGACTCATGGACCCCTCTAAGTACCTCGTTGATAACCCCCAATTCTCTCCATATGACATATATATGGATGCCAAATGCTATCCACCTGCTCACTCCTGCAGGGACAGCCTGGGCCCTACCTAGTACCATGTTTCTCCTTGCAGCCTGGAACTGTCACAGTAGCCACCTCCCCTACAGCCTACTGCTCACCGCTAGCCTGCAGTCACCCCGTGGAGTAGCCAATGTCCAGGCCAACTGCTCCCTCACCCCTTTGATCTACACTGCCCAGGATCACAGCACTGCACAGGTTTGCTCTCCTGAGTGTAAGGATCCCAGGAGTAGCTGGGGATGTATGTCAACACTGAGAAACAAGGGATGTGATGAGAAACTGGGATCAGTGCCTGTGCTCCTGGTCCAAAGCTGGGTCTGGTCCCTCCTGTGTATGACCACACATGTTCTTCAGGTCTCACTGGCTGGCAGTCCCCCAGGACAGCATGATTTGGAGCTGCTGGTGTATTTTGGAGATCCCAGTGCAGTCAGTGCTGTGGTGGAGAAGGGAAACCCTGAGGCCCCTCCAGGTGAGTGCAGGTGGAGAGGGAATATAAGGGCAGCTCTGACAGAAGGCATAGGGACACAGCAAGACACTGGGGATTCTGGGGATAAGAAATCATTGGACACTGGGTTGGGAATGGAAGGCAATTCACATGGAATCATCCGGGTCCTGGGTTGTCAGTGCAGAATGCTGGAGAAACCGTGGTGAGGTATCAGATACAGCAGGATGTGTGCAGGAAGTTTTATGTTAGAGCTCACTGGTCAGCTCTGTTGGAGACACTGGGTTAAAACACGTGGACTGTGCAACTTGTGGACAGTGCAGCAGTGTATTGAGGTACCAGTATGGGGCATCACAGCCTCTGGGATGGGGGAAGCTGAAAGCACAATGAGAGTCAGAACCAGGATGAAGAGGAGGGTCCCCATATGGCTTTTATCTCATTCCCATCTCCTCCAGGCTCCCTGCTTGGTGATCCCATGGTGTTGGTGACACTGGCACCCAGCATCCCTGAGCCAATGCCTGGGCAACACCAGTCTGGAGAGTTCATCTTCCTCCTGGACACCACTTTTCTTGAGCGTGCCCAGGTACCCTTGCAGAGCAGGGACCAGGGTGGAGGAGCAGGTTGACAGACAGAGCAGGCTGACAGCCAGAGCAGGCATTTAGAGAGGGACAGAGATGTGAGTAGGGGCTGGTGGGACCTGAAATGGTCCTGAAGTTTCTTGGGTGCCCAGGGGAGTTCAGGACAGTGTCTTGGGTCCTCCAGGGGAGTCCAGAGACTTTAGGAGGATGAGTCTACGGTCAAAGGTATCCATACCCCCCACAAGTGCCTCCCAAGACCTGCCTACTGTGTCTTTCCACAGGACTCCCTGCTCTTCCTCCTCAAAAGCCTGCCTCTGGGCTGCTACTTCAACATCTACTGCTATGAAGCAGCATCTATGGGCATCTACCCGTGAGCAAACATGGGGTAGACCGGGTGCTGTGGGGCTGGAAAGGGTCCTTGCGGGTATGGCTGGATACTGTGGGGCATGGTTGGGTGCTGTGGCACTGAAATGGGCACTATGGGGCAGAGTTAGATGCTGGAGGGCAGGTGTACGTGCTCTGAAATTGGCTAGTGGGTATGGGCTGGAGGGCATGACTGACTACTTGTAGGGCAAGGCTGGATTGTGGGATGGGATCTTGGCTTCATGGAATAGAACCTCTTGGGGTTCTGTTGAGCAGTCCTGTAGGAATTATGAAACAAGGTTTCTTTAAGAACTAGTGTGGGGTAGGGACTTGTGGGGGAACCTGGAGCATAGCTGTGGGAAGTGCTGCAGGACAGAGTCTCAGAGAGAACTAGGGAGGGCACGGAGCTCCAAACATGCTGTGCTTCCTGCAGGCAAAGTGTTGAATATACTCAGGACAACCTGACCAATGCCCTGTGGCGCATTCCTTCCACCGGCTCCAGTCTGGGTGACACCAACCTTCTTGAAACCCTCCGCTCAGTCTACAGTACCCCCCGCCCCCGTGGGCATGCACGCCAGGTCTGGGTCAGGAGCATAGAGGGGCGGAGGGGCAGGTGTCCTGGGGAGAGAGAGGACACCGTAGTGTGGGTGAAAGGACCCACCAGAAATATACTGGTGTATGTCAGGGAATGGAGAAGTGGGTCTATAATTTTGGGTGTTTCTGTCCCTCAGTGAATAGCTCTCCCTGGGGTAGTTTTTGTACAGAGCGTCTCTCTCCTTGGCCCCTCTCTCTCCAGTTTAAGGGCTTGCTTTCTCCATTTTGGGGTCCCTGTGGAGGACCCCACTACTCATGTTCCCTGTCTCTCAGCTCTTCATGACTGGGCTACCCTCTGACAAAGAAGCCATCGCAGCTGAGGTCTGTCATCATCGCAACAGCCACCGGTAATGGGGATTCTCTGTCCTGAGTCCTCCAGTTCCCCTTTGGTTGTCCAGTCATTTCCATCCCCAGTGAGGGTCCCTGTGCATCAGTGCCTGTTCCAATCCTTGGGCTCCTTCAGCGTCCCAAAGACCCTTCTCAGTCAACTCAGGTCTCCAGTGCCAAGACCCCATGAGGGAGTCTTTTCTTACTACTCTCACAACCAAGGCATTCTTCCCAGAGTGAGAGCAGGGAGACTGAGGCACAGGGCTTATCTACCCCAATGTGCCCCCAAGCTCTGCTCCAGCCCCATGAGACTGATCCCAGTTCTACGCCAAACCTCAGCTCTCCTCTGCCAGCTCCCTGTCTAACCTCAGCTCCAACCCACTCCCTCACTCCCTGCTCTTCTTCCTGCTCCTTTTTTCCGCACCCTAGCTTTCTTCCCCCAGCTTTAACTCCAGCCTGTGTATCCCAGCATACTTGCACCCACCTCTGGCTCTCACTTCTGACATCTTTCCCTACTTTCCCCATAGGTGTTTCTCCTTCTACTTCTCTGAGGACAGCGCTGCCCTGGCTATAGCCCTGGCCAGGGAGACAGGGGGTGAAGTTACCTATGTCTCCTCCAACAACAGTATGACAGCTGTGGTAGGAACCCAAGAGCCCTAGCAGGTTCCCCTCTATTCCACAGACATGCTGACTTCCAATCACCCCAGCACGTGAACTACCCACACACAACAACTGAGACCCAACTGCCCTGGGAACCTGGTCACACAGACTGCCCCTGACTGTAGCCCATGGACAACCGGGGGGTCTGGGCTTCTGCACCACTATAACCCACAGATCTGACTGTGTCCAGCAAATCCAAGTGGTGCAGGCTACTCCACACATTCTACTGTCCCCCACAGAACCCTGACACTGGGATCCAAGTTGCTGCAAACTATGGTGTTCTGCCCTCTGTCCCCAGGTGTTGCAGTGCCTGAAGAGAGCCCTCAAGCCAGCAGCTGAAGTAGTCTCTCTGAGCTGGACCCTGCCACGTGGCCTGGAGGTTGAAGTGCTGGGGGGTACTCCTCAGTCTATCTTTCAGGGTCAGCACAGTCTTCTCTATGCCCAGATCCATGGACAGGCACAGGTGAGAGCTGGGACCACAGTCACCCTCAGTTATCTCCCAATAACCTCCCAGTAACCACCAGTAATCTTTCAGTAATTTCCCAATATCCCCTAGTAACCATCTTGTGTCCCCAGTAACCTCCAGTAGCTTCCCATGTGTTTCCAGGATACAACGGTGGCCAAGGGGGTCATGACTTTGCAGTGCAGCCTGGAGGGCCAGGATGTCACTCACATGGTTGAATTCCCACTGTACTCACAGGGAGATGGACGGTGAGAACCTATCCTCAGGGAAGATGCATTCCCCTCATTTCTAATATGGACTCCAACCAAGAGGGGGCACAGATAACTTGTGCATTTCCACCTTCCACACACCATCCCAAACCTTCAGAGAACCCACGTGTCCAAGCATGCCCTCCTTCCCTTTGACCCCACAGGGATAGGACCCAGGCACCTGGGCACCACTTCCCTCCAGACAGACAAGGACCCAGGCATCCAGGTTTTCCCTCTGTCCATCCTCAGCCCTGAGGAGAGGGAACCCAAGTGTCCAGGCTCTCTCTCTTTCCTCAGTACAGAGATGATTCAGGTACTCAGGCTTCCCCCACTCTGTTCCCAGGCTGGCTGGACATCGTCTGGCTGTGAGGTCCTTACTGCAGAGACTGTTTCTTGAGGCTGCGAGTGGGTCAGGGGATGAACCCAGGCATCGTGCAGTGGAGATCAGCCTTGCTTCCGGGATCATCTGCCCCTTTACCAGCTATGTGGGCATTCGTACATCACAGAGGGTAAACTGGTACCGAGGTAAGGAAAGTCACCAGCAGAAAAGAGCTGGTGGGGCAGCTCCATGGGATGTCCTCATTCCACTGGAGCTGGAACCTCAGCCACAGGGCATTCCCAGGTTCCTGGGGTAGGGCCCATCACCACCAGGTGCTTCTTTCCCATGTGATTAATTCAGTCCCTTTTCCTGTTTACCCCCAAAGGGCCTCTGGCACTGTTGGCACCCTGCCAGTCACACGTCCCCTGCCAGCTTGTTGAGCTTCCTGGCTTGTGTAAGGACTCTTCCTGCTATCCTGTGACCATCTGGGTCCCACCTGGCTGGCTGACAGCAGTGCGTGAGTCATGGCGTGCCCTCCGTCGGCTCACCTGTGGCATTGCTGCCCTGCCCAACCAGGGGGCTTGCTCAAAAGGTATGGGGCCTTGACCCAGACGGGAGATGTAGGGACAATCCACTGTCTTAAAGGAGGGTTATGGTGCCATGTCTTGTTCATGGTGTGGAAACCGATGAGTTTTGCCTTTAATCTTCCCTTAGTTACCCTCGTATCTGAATGTCCTTCAGTAAATACGAGGCCCGGCTCAGGGACACCCAGGAAGGGGGCAGGGATGGTGCTGAACCACACACACGTTTGAACAAAATGTGTTGGGGGTGTATCAAGAGAGGTAGGTATTGGGACATAGCTGGGCAGGAATGCAAGAAGAGACAGTGGTCAAGGTTGGAGATGACTTAAGGGTGTCCAGAAGGGGATTGGACTGCTTTGGAGACATGTAGGGGGGACTTTGGGCAGCAGGAAGCCACCCAAAGGAGAGCAGATAATGCCCCGGGGCATTGCACAGGGGAGTAGAGTGGGGTCAGCTTCCTGTGATTTTCCCAATACTCCTGTTCACATCTTCTCCCACAGCACATAAACCACTACCACCATCTGTTTCTTCTCTCAAGTATGTGGATCCTACAGCATATGTGTTGCGCTCTCCAATTTTTGGGCCACGGTCCACTGAAGCCTTTGCTGAGTGCCAGAAGCTGGTAGTGCTGCAGAGTGAAGATGGCTCCTGGGCCCTCAGCTCAGGATTGGCCTCTGTGCTGGAGGTTGATGAAGCTGAAATCAAGAGAAAGATGCCTGGTGAGGTAATGGGGGAACTTCTTATGTTGACTGTGGGACAGTGGGGCAGTGGAAGAACCTTGGCTGGTGGCAACACTGGCATCCCAAGGGATGAATGAAGGGATCAGAAACCATAAGCTACAATGGATGAGGGGAAGCAGTGAGGGGACAGGCGAGATATTGACAGTGCATGGCAGTCCATTGTTTTCCTACAGGTCATGGAACCAAGCATTTGGGCCACAGTGCTGGCTGTGACCTGGCTGCACAGACCCGACAAATGTTACCAAGACTACTGTGAACTTCTGGAGGCCAAGGCCGTGACCTGGCTGTGCAGCCGAGCTGGTGAGTCTTGACAGTCCTTTTCCTGCTGATTCCCTTCTCTGTCCAGTGGGACCTGCCTCATTCCTTCGCAGGGCCGTGATTTCCTGCAGGCACGTGAAGAAGTCCGGTGTCCCCTTACTCCTTCTATCTTTGGACTCTTCTCTCCTGCCTGAGGCATCTAAAGCCTCTGTCTCTCCCTGATTGCAGTGTCCCAGCTGGACAAGTGTCTGGAGGCAGCCAACAACCTCCTTGGGAGCAGTGCAAAGCCAAATATCTTCAGGCTCTGAGTTCACATATGCCTTGATACAGACCAACAGTATCTGCAGAAAGTATAACCCAAATTCACACACTGTACTGGGATACCACTTTTGCTACCAGCTGGGGTCTTACATTATAGATTAATTCTCACTGCTTATATATTATACTATTTGGGCTGAACCTGTACCATGCTGAGCTCCTCAAGAGAAAAACTCCAATTCAGCCTCTCTGAGTGTTTAGTCTCGGTGAAGGTGGCAGTGGGAAGGAAGCCCTGTTCTTCCTGAATTAGACTTTGGCAAAATAGCTACTGGGTCGCACAAAGGTGGTGCTTAGGGACATGGTTGGACCTAGTTGTGGACTTAGAAGTGCTGGTTTAACAGTTGCACTCAGTGATCTTTTCCAAACTAAATTATTTTATGATTATGGTTTCTGTTTGACAAGAGAGTGCTTTGCACACTAGAAAAGATCAGTGTTTAGTGGTATCAACAGCAGGTACCATTGCAGAGACTCACAATGAAGGACTCCTGCTGCATGTCAGTTGCTGACGTCTTTGCTTTCCCCCAAAAGTCCAGGTTGTGTCAGGAACTCCTATATCTTTCCTTTGCCATGTAAACCAATCATTTTGGAAGTAAAACTCTCATCTTCGTCAGACTCAGCCCATCATAAGGCTTAAAAGATCTCAAGTGACATGAGACTGATTTGAAAACTATCAGTATGTTGGAGGTGGAACTTCAGGAGCTTTTGATTAAGAAACCAGTCATGCAATTTACTCCCTCTGCCTCTGGGTCCTGAATTCATGGGTGTCACTCCATGTTAGCAAAGTCTCTGCTTCACTTCCCAATAAACAGTGAATCTTCTGTAAGCCAAAAGGTGTGACATAGCCTTTATTTCTCTTGGGCCTATGATCCTTCCTTCCAGGGACCATCTATGATCCACCAGGAGGGACAGGAAAGGACGTCCCCATAGCTGTGTATTGTAATACACAAAACAAGGTGCTGCCATTGGTCTTGGACGAGTACAGAGTTCTAGGTTAACAGGACAGCAGCTGAGGGCTTGTCAGACTTTTTCTAGACATCTTTTATCTTGAATTTATTTCAGCTAGTGGCAGTAGCAACACTTTGCCCACCAGATACATGACTGATGCCTAATTTATTCTAGCTGTAGCAGAAACGTTTTCAGGTGATTAATGTCAAACTTGGTTTTAGCTTTAACTTTTTAATTCCATTAGAGTTTACATCTCTGACACTAAATGTTCTTCTCCCTTGAATATTCACCTCTGCTGTCTGGAGCAGGCACAGCAAAAATGTCTCTGTGCACTCAAACCCACCTCTTGCCTTGGAAGTCCATGGGGAGACATAGGAATCACCTTTCTCAGAGAGACAAATGACATAGGGAATGTGCCCTCCTACACTCCTTGAGGTGTAGAAGGAGGAAAGAAGGGCACAGAGGACCTCACATTTTGGAGAGGTCAATCATGACTGTGATGAAATACCCATAGGTCAGCTTACTTCAGCCACCAACAAATGTATTGTTTATCCAGGAAGAGGTTTTGGGTTCTTCCCTCCAATAGGCTCCCAAGGGTGATTCATCTGATGGAACTTAATTAGTCTACATGTCCTGGAGAATGGTTCTTCCCTCCAATAGGCTCCCAAGGGTGATTCATCTGATGGAACTTAATTAGTCTACATGGCCTGGAGAAACATCAGGCTCTGCTTTCTCCCTGTTGACCATTGGAAAGGCTGAAAAGGCAGCCCCAGTGACCCACAGCTGCCTAATTCTGAAATTATTGACCCCATTATAGTCTTCTGCAAGATTGGAGCTGAGTGTTCTTCTCAGATCCTCACCAGGTTCTACTGCAGCAGCTTAGAAAAGCCAGTGCTTGCTGCCTATGAGAAATAAATAATCTGGTTTTATTACAAGCAAATTGATTTTAGTAAAAAACAGGGGGTGGTGAGATTTATTTCCTCTCTTTCATTTAATTCCAGGAGTTTTAGGTGCCTTGTGGAGACTGTAAGGTGAAAGACCCCATCTGGGTCTGACACCAAGGAAACATCGTGGCCGGGGTAGGGAAAAAATATGTAAAAATGGAAAATATACCCTGGCCACGTGGCTGGCCTTTGAGTGCAGAGAGACCCGTCTGTACATAGGAGTACGTCATCAATCAATCAGGAGGGAGGGTAACACCCCCTCCTGAGTTCGAAAAATTACCTTTTAAGGTAAAATACCTTACACCTGTTGAATATTTAACAGCTAATGTAACCAAAAGGGTACGAAAGGGCGTGTTTTTCAAACAGCGGTGTGCTCGGACCAGGTCACGAGTTCGTGCACCCAGCGTGCTGTTAACAAAGCTCTGTTTCACTGCATTTGGCCATCTTCTAAATTTTAATTAGAGATATTTCTCACACTGCCCCATCTCAGTTTCTCTTTCTTAGAGCAGGTTGAAATGCTTTGGAGGTTTGGGGAAGGACAACCATTGCCCAAGATGTAGAAACAGTTTGCATCAGCTCATAACTTCCACCCTCCACAGAGATACACTTGTGCAGTGCTCCCTCCCTGAAATCCTAAGGGAAAGACACCCCAGGACACTGATTACATCCATAACACTAGGAAATGGCACCCAGGTGCTTCAGGCCCGGAGCTCAATCTGTGGAAGGAAAAGTGAAAGAGCTAAACTTTTTATTGGCCTTCCTGTGAGAGAAGGGTTTTCAGACTGAATAGGGAGGGAAGTGAGGTGGGGCAGAACAGGTGACAGCAAGGCCTGAGTCTTCATTTCCAGGCACTACCACAGGAAAGGTCCTCACACTCTTCATTCACAGTGTTGAATGAGGGAATCTCTCCTAATTGCACTTGTCATCAGTGTCTCCAGACTAAGTTCATCCTGGCCTGGGAAAAAGGTGTATTAAACTTTGGGACCATCACCTTTTTGAGCAAATTATTCAACCCGAGACTTTTATGGACCAGTTGGATGCTTTCCTTTAGCATCTCCATCTCCCTGTAAAAGCTCAAAAGTCGTAGGGAGAAAGTTAGCTTTTGTGCTTATCCACAACTTTTATAGTTCTACACCTTTTTGCTTTTTCCTAGTGCATTTTCCCATACCAACATCTTCTTGCTAGCAAGGTAAGATGCTATTGTTAGGTGAGGCCAGGGCTAACTACTGCTTCATTGAAACGCTAAATAACCTCGACACACTAGGTAAATTGCGTAAGGGAAACCCCATCCCCCTGTAACTACAGCTGGGGGAAGGGAGGGCTCAGGTTTGTTTTGGTTATCTTTATTTATTTTTTTTCTTCTCTTTCCCTCAGCGGCCGGGATTTTGCTTTTGGCCAGACTCGGGAGCAATGTGGGGAAGGGCGCTCCAAGTTCATCTTTCTGGCCAGATCAATGGTTTCTTCAAGCCCCGAGGAAGGTCCCAGTTTCCCCTCCGACCCCTCGTGACCTACTCTGCCCACGGCCCACGGAGCCGCCTTTGTTCCCGGGTGAGAGCCCTGCGGTGCTTGCGGTGGGGCATCACACGCGACCTCTGCTGTCACAAAGACTGCCAGTACCTTGAGGGGGGGGTTCCCTTTTTTGGGGGGGGGAGGTGTCTCCCTGCTCGTAGCTGGACGGACCGGTACTCCTGTCCCTTGCCGACCACCGGCCCCGTGGCCGAAGGCTGGGGCCCGCCCTGGGGTGTCAGAGCAGCCGCCATGACTGGGATCCGCCATTGCCCTCGTGGGGCCTTCCGGAGCGCCCCCTGCCGGCCGTGGAGACACTGCACCCCTCCGGATCCAACAACGCCCCCTGCTGGCCATGGAGACACTGCACCCCTCCGGATCCAACAACGCCCCCTGCTGGTCGTGGCTATAACTGCACCAAAAGGCAAAAAGGACTCAATTGTTTTCGGTAGGAGTTTGGTTACAGGATTATTGCTTCTTTCTGTTGTGTTACCTGAATATATATATATACACATATATATTCTTTAGTCATTATTGTCATCATCATGGCTAGGCTTCTATCCACGCTTACTACAAGGACACTAATGGCTAAAAAGGCCAATGGAGATAGACAAGTCCGGTTGCAAAAGGCACAGCAGAAAGTCTCCTTAGGCGGTATTGGCAAGACACGGTTCTTTCTGTTTTGTCTTTTCTCCTCAAGAATGATTCTGCGTATGTGCTCAAAAGAAGCAACAGCGTTATGTACAGTGTGTCTCCATGTCTCCTGGTTGGAGGCCAGAGTAGACCAGTTATGTTGATCAATATGGTCAAGGCTGAGATGTTGTTTCAGGGAGTCCTTGCATCTCCTCTTTGGGGCTTCTCTCTTGCGGCAGCCAGTGGCAAGTTCACCATAGAGCACGATCTTAGGGAGGCAGTAGTCCTCCATCCTGGAGACGTGGCCTGCCCAATGCAGCTGTGTTCTCAGCAACGTGGCCTCAAAACTCTTTAGTAAAGAGCTGTTATTTTCCTTTTCCACAACTATTCAACTGGAGCCTTTTAATTTGGAAGCTATAATTACTCAGAGGGAGGAGCTTGGTTTTTCTCATATCCCACCCTCCTTAGCAAACATTTCTCTCGCTAAACTGAGATAACAACATTGGGAAAACTCTTGGATAAAGTCTGGCCAAAGGGTTCTGTTCCTCATGCACAGGCGCTACGTGATGCTCCTTTCCCACTTCATTCCCTGTTTACTCAGCTTCTTCCTTGCAACAGGGATCACAGAGTCCCAAAGCCATAGTTAAAAGCTCAGAGGAACTCGGTACCGTAGTGCCAGTTCTTCTACTGGCAGAAGAAAGGGTATCTGACGTGATATGATATCAGCTGTGTGTTTTCCTCAGTTTTTGTCATGGCACAGGGTTTTCAAATCATTCTACCTGACAGGTTGAGGTGTCTGGAGAAGATCTTTTCCTCCTGTGCTGCACTCGGAGATGCTATTTTGCTGTGATCTCAGTAAGAAAAGCACTCAGACCCTATAAACAGTAAGCAGTTTATTATATGGTGGGGGTTTCACTGATGATTTCCTTGCTACTCTCATTCCATGACATTTGAGCTGGCCTTGAGAAGCCCATGCTGGAGCAGGTAGATGGAGGAAGGAGGCTGTGACCCCGTGGGAGGCCCAAGATGGAGCAGGGTCCTGCTGTAGACCTGCAGCCCGTGGAGAGGGAAGCCCACGCTGGAGCAGGTTTTCCCAGGTAGGACTTGTGGCCCCTGTGGGGGACCCACACCCATACAGCTCATCCGTGAAGGACTGACCCCATGGAGGAGTGACCCACGGGACAGCAGTTTGGGAAGAGCTGCTGCCCAAGGTGTGGACTCACCCTGGAGAGGTCCATCAAGGACGGTCTCCAGTGGGAGGGACCCCACGGGAGCAGGGGAAGGACTCCAACTCCTCTCCCTGAGCAGCGGCAGAAACAACAACTGACCGTAAACCCCATTCCCCATCCCCCTGCACTGCTGGGGGGAGAGGAGGGAGACCATGGAAGGAAGGAGAGATGGGAGGAAGGTGTTTTTCGGATTTATTTCTCACTCTTTGGCTCTTATCCTGTTAGTAATAAATTTAAGTAAGATCCCCACTTTGAGTCTGTTCTGCCTGTGAAGGTAGTCAGTAAGTGACCTCTCCCAGCACTTATCTCAACTCATGAATCCTTAGCTGGTTTTTTTTTCTCTCCTCTGTCCAGTTGCAGGGGGACAGTGAGAGAGTGGCTTTAGTGGGTACCTGGCATCCGGCCAGGATCAACACACTATATCCTTCTAATTTCCTGCAAGTTTCTCTATTTCCAGTTTCTCCAGACAGCTTGTTATTTATTGTCCCTGTTAAGCTAGTTCTGCCTTTCCTGAAGAATCAGCCCTTGTTCTGCATTTGTTCTATCATTGATGTTATTGTAGGATCCATCCTACAACATGATAATTAGCTGGATACACTCACAGAGCAGTTCAGCAATCAATGTTACCTTCTGTCTCACCAGCAAAAAGCCAAGTTTATTTGCACTGGACCCTCTTTCACTTACTGTGAATCTGAGATTTAAATCTTCTCTTGCACATTAAGTTGCCTTTCTCCTGCTGATAGCAAAAGGAATTCTGTCCTTTACACCTGGGAAAAACTTACTGGGAGTAACTTCAGACATAGCAGTTGGGCTGTTGAAGCCTGAGCAAATGCCTATTCCTTTTTTATTCCATAGAGAGTAATAGGTACCTCCATCGGGCAATTCATCTGTCTAGTGGAAAGGAGTGTTCCTAGGATGAGATGTCTCCAAGAACCCTGAACTTTCGTGTACTACGCATGGAGCCCCTAAAGGGAATGTGAATACAGCTTCATGTGTGCAGAACACTGCTTTCTCTCTAATAATATTGTCTTTCACAAATATTCCCTTGCTCGTAGGTGCCCTTTCTGACAAGAGGAGAAAAGAAAGACTGAAAACACTGCCTTGAAAAAGGGAATGGGAAAACCAGATGTCACTGAGAGAGTTTCTCCTGCTGGGATTCAGGAACACACCTGATTCCAGGTCCTTCTCCTCGTCCTCTCTCTCACTGTCTGTGCTCAGGAACATCTTCATCATTGTGCTGGTCATGACACAGCAGCATCCCACAGCCCAGTGTATTTCTTTTAGGTGAAAATGTGCAACTTGGAGATCTACTAAACTTCCATCTAATGTGCCCAGGCTGTTGACTGGGGACAGGACCATCTCTGCTCAGGACTGTATGGCTCTGCTCTATTTCTTTGAACTTCTTGCAGTGTTACCTGCTGGCCACCACGTCCTACAGTCAGTACCTGGCCATATGTCACCCCATGCTGTGTACAAGCGGGATGAACTGGAAGGTGTGTTTCCAGCTGGTGGCTGGTTCTTGGCTTGCAGGAATGACTAGTTCCACAATCATCACATACCTCTCAAGCCAATTGAAGATTTGTTGCTCCAGCCCAACTGACTACTTCTGTGATTTGATCTCTTTATAGAGCTCTCCTCCAGTGACACCAGGTGCTGTAATGATCATCCCAGACGTAGTCTTTACAGTTTTGTTCACCCTGGCGTCCTCTGTCTGCATTACAGATGCCATTCGGAGCATCCCATTGAGCACTGGGAGGCAGAAGGGTATCTCCACCGTATGTGAGAAGTCAAAGACTTTTCATACACCATTGTGGTCAGCATTTTGTAAGGGACATTTCTGTGGCCTTCAAATAGACAGAGATATTGTCTATTTGCTGCCTAGGACATCTTCACTGAGAAAACTGAACAAAATCTCCTTTTTCTACACCGTCCTCACAGCCCTGATCAACCCACTGTAAGCCTGAGGAACAGAATGGTCAAGCAAGCCTGGAAAAGCTATCAGGGAAGCTGTTGCCTGCACTGAGAGTGCACACTATCTGTCACCATGGCTACAGAACTCCTATTTCTCCTCCAGACTGTAGGGTTGATGTGGAGGGAATACATGATGTACCAGGTATGTCTCTGAAGGTGTCTGGCTTTAAATCCCTGGGTGTTTGGGATAGTAAAAAAAAAAGGATGTCAAGCATGTGGTCTAAGGGTGGCAATAGCATGGAAAAACCTGATTAATAGTTTGTGAAACCCTTTGAAGTTTGGGAAGGAGAAACTTTCAGAGACCAAAACCCTTTGGTGTTTTGTTTTTGCAGATGGAAATATTTGAAACTTCAAACGGAAGCTGATGTAGCTGACATAAAGCAAAACCAAAATGAGGAAAGCTTCTGCATGAAAGCTCTTAAGTCAGTTTGAACCAGGATCATCCTGTTGTAAAAAAAATCCCTGGTTCTATGCTGAATCAAAATGAGCTGTTGCTGTTTGTTGTGAACAAGGTTAGCTTGCTATGGGCACTGAGGAGAAAACAAGGCCACACACACACAGACTTCAATTTTGGGACTTGTCTACTCATCATTTTCGGTGTTCCCCTTTTATTCTCTCCTAAACAGCACCTGGTGTTTTCATTTTAGTCAACTGGAATTCCCAGGATCGTCCCAAATCAGTGCCTTGATCCCACACATTCACACTCACATCATGTGATGGCTGGGTTCAGCCATGAGAGAAAAGCACACGTTATCATGCAGACTGTTTGAAGCTGTTTTCCACTCTGAGACATAACATCCTCTCTGTCAAAGCACTTAGCCAAAGTCAATCCTCCCTTTTGATTCCAATTAACTAAATGCAGGTGCAGAGTGACTCAGCTTGTTCCCACAGTGTGCTTAATAAGCACCCAAAGTCTTTATCAGATTATTAATGCTCCCCTCCTTTGCATATGTGTATATGTAGATATCTGTCTTTATTTCTGCATATTTGTGCAGTTATGTGCACAAAATATACTCCTGGCCTATCCTGTCTGTCCTCAGCTGTGCTGTCTATTCATAATCATGCAGCAACCTACACTTCTCCACAGTGAAACTAGCTTTGGCTTTCACTTTCTTTTGGCACTTAAGGAATATAATGTTTTAACTCCCAGTGGAAGCTTTCAACTTAAGTGTCAAACAAATCTCAGAACATCCAGAGGCCATCACCCACACCCTCCCATTCAGAGCAAGTGGATGTGCTCCTTCCTTGTCCAAGGAGTTCCTTCAGGAGAGCTGCGGTGGGAGCTAAGTGGGACAGAGCCTTTCATTTGTGAAATAGCAGCCTAAAGTTTGTTGAGTTAGTTCAGGAACAAGCTGCTGCTGCTATATGACAATATACCGCGATAGGAGTTCTCAGAACAGACAGGTTTGGGTGTCCTGTTCCCACAAGTATTTTGCACTCACTGTATCATCTTACCGGCAGTTGACACCAAAGCCATCTTACTCAGAGGAACCTATGTAATCTTGCTCACAATTTTTAATCGTCATTGCTACCCAAAATGAAAAAAACCCACAGGGAAACAGAATATAAGTCCTTATATTTTTTTAATCTGTAGGGCTGCCATACCTTGCAACAGCTGAATTATCAGATCTATCTGAGAATTTGGGGCTCTTTTCATGACTCCTCACATGATTTATTTTCTGTTATGAGTTAAGATACTCTGATTTTCCATGCTGATTTATAAATTACTCTGCTCTTTTAAGTTCTTCAAAGCTTTTATGCTTTTTAAGTGATCCATTTCTTCCCTAAAGATTTCATTTGGATGAACTAACTGCTCCTTCCCAGCTAATAGTCTTTGTCCAATTATGGGCTTTATTAAATGCCTGTGAATGTGCAATGGAGCCACCTGAATATCTTCCCTCAGTCTGGAGCTACTCACTTTGTTTGACAATGATGCCTTAAGCCCCTGATGTTTTTTTTATTTTTCTAATATTTGTAAGACTTGTAAGTTTTATAAGTAGGTTTTAAAAGCAGAAACCCTTCCCTTCTTTGTCCCTTGTCCCTTTCCCTTTCTCCAGTACCCTTGTTTATACATTCCTTAACCCTCTTACCCCATTCTATGCTCCCCATATCAATCCTACTTCTGAATACAGCAGAAATGTTTAGTCTTTTGTCAAGGCAAGGCCTAGATTGTTGGTAGAAAAGCATATCAGGGCCTAAACCACAGAATACAGTCAAGAATTAGGTAACTATGTACCCTTTGTGCTCTGATGATGGTGAAGGTGGGATGAATGGGGGGTCTCGAAATACACCCCAGACCAATTTTAAGGGGGTGGACCCAGGGCGGTCCAGAGTAAAGGCCACAGGGTGGGCATATCTGGGATTGGATGGATGGTATTATAAAATGTAACCTCTCGGGCACAGGGGCGTGTGTCTTGTAACATCTACTGCCTTGGCAAATAAACCCTTTCTTATCTCACCCCCAATTTACTGCTCTGGAGATTTTTTTCAGCACCATAAATCCCTCGGCAACAACAATACTATCTGGAGAGGTTTAATTATATGCTGAGCATAGACATTACTGACAGATATTTATCTCCCTTCCTTCCTCAGAATGTATTTTTTATTTGGGATGATGATTTTAACACTGATAACTTGTTTACAATTGTGAATGTTTTCTTTCTATTTTTGACTTTTCGTTATTCAGAAAAGCACTGGTGGCTACTGAGGGTAAATCAGGTCCTAAAGAGATCAAGACCTGCGAGTATTAGAACAAGAGAAAGAAAACATTTCAGAATTATCTGTTGACCAAGAAACGTAGACTGTTTTCATGTATGTGTAATTAGATCGCATAATAGAAACAGCTATGAATAGAGACACGATGTGTCCACAACAATATATTAGTAAGGTGTTCCTGTCCTTACTCAGAAGGTATGTAGCAAGGGAAGACCATACTTTGTACTCCCAAGACAATTTAATGCTTATTTTAATGTGTGAATGAAATAACAGAGAAATTAAACAGTTAAATTATTATGGAGATCTCAAACCTTCTGATTTCTTGAAAAGAAATGTCAAAATCAATTTTAAAAAGTCTCCTACTTGTATCTTATTTGTATATGTATCTATATGCACATACACATGTATATCTATATATTTTCTCTTTCCTTCTCATACAAAAAAACCCCAAAACCAGCAAAACCAAATCAACTTTGATCACTCCTTTGCTTGATATGTTTATTCTTACAGAAATACACAAAGGAGAAGCAGAGGATGGAAAACCAGACTTCTGTGACTGAATTTATTCTTCTCAGTTTCCCCAGCCTTCAAAGGGTTCATGTTTTGCTCTTTGTGGGAGTCTTGCTAATCTACCCTTTGAATGTCATTGGGAATGTCATCATCACTACTATAGTGGTAAATGACAATACTCTCCACAAACCTGTGTATTTCTTCCTTGGAAATCTCTCATTAATGGAAATCATCTATGTCTTAACCACTATACCCAAGTTTTTGGCCAGCCTTTTGAAGGTCAAGCAGTCTATCAGCATACCTGAGTGCAAAGCCCAAGCCTTTTTCTACTTTTTTCTTAGTGGTGCTCAGCTTTTCTTCCTCACAACCATGTCCTTTGATCGATACACTGCAATAGGCAACCCTCTCCACTACACCACTGTCATGAGTGGAAAACCGTGTGCTCAGCTCTCATTCGGCTCTTGGATGGGTGGCTTTCTGTCTTTGTACAATCTGTTCTGATGTTTAGACTGCCATTCTGTGGCCCCCACACCATCAATCACTTCTACTGTGACGTTAGGCCACTGCTGGAGCTGGCGTGCACTGAAACCAGCATACTGAACATCTTGTTTGCTCTGCTGCTGCTTTGGTTTGGTTTAGCACTTCCTTTTTGACCATTGCCTCCTACTTTGGCATCATCTTTACCATATTGAGGATCCCATCTGCTTCTGGGAGACAGAAAGCTTTCTCCACCTGCATTGCACACCTGATTGTGGTCATCATTCTTTATGGGACAGTTGTGTGCCTTTATGTCAGCCCAGGAGGTCAGGCCTCACTAAATATAAACAAAGTCATCTCCGTTCTGAACACTGTTGTAACACCAATGCTGAATCCTTTCATTTATGCCTTGAGGAACAAAGAGGTAAAGACTGCCTTGAAAAAATCTGTGATGAGAAATAAAATATTTCAGGTCAAAGAATGAGGGCTAAAATGTGACTTTTCTGCAGGATCCTGTAGCAAATTGATTCTAGAAACCTCTTTGGGAAGTAGATATCAATGATTTTTATAAAGAAGGAAGATGACTTAGATTATGATTAGGCAGCACACCTGACTATGGACAATATTTGACCCAGGTACTCAGGCCTGTCCATCCATTTGTTTATTCTCAGATTATGCTCCAAGTATTTTCCAAAGACTCATTATATTTATTATCCATCAAAGCAAAAATTAAAAAGAAAAGGGTTCTCATACATTTAATGTATTTATTTCTTACTATGAAAGAGAAGTCTTATGATTACAGAATTTAATTCTTCTAAAATTAAGAGTGTGCTGGTTTAAAAGTTAACCAGTAGGGGAAATGAACTCAACTCAAAAGAGAGACTACAAGTCAGAATAACAATTTAATAAAATAATACAATAAGCACGACTACACAGACAAGCAATTGGTCTCAACCCACAAAACCCAAATGTATAACCTAGCACCCCGGGGCACAAACAAAGTGGTGCTCCCTGGGCCCCCCTGAGTCCAAAGTAAAGGGAGAGGGGAAAAACCTGCTGGTGGGAGAGCTGCTGCAGTCCAGTCAAAAGTGGCGACTGCAGCCCAGCCAAGGGTGGCAGTCTCAGTCCGGTTGAGAGCGGTGAGCTGCCATCTGGCTGAGAGCGGTGAGTTGCAGTCCTCCTCTGGATCCCACGAGTGGTGGAAAGGTTCTGAAGCTCCAGGTTTATATATTCTCCAGCTCAGGCAGGAATGCTTAGTCCCTCCCTCAGAGCGGGGAATTCCATAAAAGGATGCCCAGTCCTTCCCTCAGAGTAGGGAATTCCATAAAAGGGCATGAGGACAGGAACATCCCCCCACCTCGCAGGCCTCTACTGACAACAGTTTCTGGGAAATGGCATGGAGGGCTATAGAATACACAGTTTTGGGCTACACCCATCCAGTGATGAATCGGTCCCAGCTGTTCTAACTAGGACAAAGAGGTTGAGGCGTTTGTGTTCATGTTTGTTGTGGCTCCACTGACCTTTAACATAGCAAAATCCCCATAGGTCAGCATAAGCAATCCTACTTCTTAATAATCTTCTGCATAATTCATGTGATTTATGTGATTGCTATACAGTGCCTCCCTAATTTCTGTTAAATTTATCCTAAATGAGAATATTGATTGTCTCATTGTTTCAAATGATAGTGTGTGTAATTTGAAATATTTTATTTCCTTTAATTAATCATTGTTTGAAAGTAAATAAAGATTCCAACAAAATGTTTCCTGCATGCTTATACTAATTTCAGCTAAAGAGTAGGTATCCTCATTTACATAGTCCCCTTAGTCTCTCTTCTCAGTCCACCTTTAATTGGAAAACTCAGCTGGTATTCATTGTTCTCATAAGTAAAGGTAGGGAGAAATTTGGCCTTTTGTTCGCAAGTAAATCATAATTCCTTGGAGGAGGAAAAAACCCCAAACCACTTTAAAATTATGTCTAGAATTTTTATACCTCTCTAGGGATTTTTATATGCATTTCTATCCTTGGAAACCTCCCACTCAGTAGGTAACAACCATGAAGAGTCTTTGAAAGTGTCTAATCACCAAATATATTAGAGATTTAAATATTGCTGAAAATGCTGACCTTAGGCCTTACCTCTCTCAGTGTCTCTCTGCTACCAGCACAAGCACTTTCAGAGGACATGCCAAAATATACAGATAGGTAGTGCAGAAGGGAGTAAGTGAGGGGTCATAGACCGAAGTATTTAGTGTTTGCAACCTAGGAAAGAAAAGGGTTGAAGGAATGGTTTTGATTGTATGGTTATTTTTATTTCAATAAGTAATCATTTAAAATAAAAGTTTTCTTTTCAAGTAATGGAAAAACAGATGGAAAGCTCTTGTAGGAACTAGGATTGAGACTCATGTGAATGGACATACCTCTTTGGAGACACCAGCATAAACCTACAAGATTTGGTTTTAGTGGCTCTATTTATCTCATTTACAATATTTCTCCAGAAAAACTATGAAGATAAGACAGAAAACCAGACCATTCTGAGGGGAACTCCAGGCTTTAAAGAATCCTACAAAGTACTTCCGTTTTAGCCCTGTCATCATCTTCATCATCTGGATTAATGCATGATAAGAGGTGTTATAAGTAGCCACCAATGGCAAAAAGGCACAAAAAAAGAGTTAACAATGATTCAACTAGTATACCTTGTCCTGTTTGCTCTACCTGTTCTTCTAGAAGAACATTTTAGGAGGGCTGGTTAATATCATATTCTGTTCTGCTCACTGGACCAAAGGCCTTATTATAGAAAGAATAGCAGTAGTATACACAGGGTAATAAATTAGGTAAACTGCACATTTAAATAAGATATAGAAGGCCCAAATCCAGGATTCTGCAAGCTTCAAGAATTAAGGTCACCTAAGAAGAGGTCAAATCAAGGAAGACATCCGTGGCGACCACCAGAGGGATGAAGGTTTGAGGAGAAGATCCCCACAGTAGAAGACTGTGCATGTCTGGAAAGACTCTGTCCAGAGACCAGTATACTTATTAGTATGTATGTTAAATGATGTAACCATGTATCTAAAGTGTATAAAATGGCTTGCTTTTGCACTTTCAAGTTGAGCAAGTTTGTCCAGCATGAACTGGTTTGCTCCCGATGTTGAATAAACAAATACCTTGCTGCTTATAGATGCAAAAGTCTCTGAGCAGTTAAACATTCTGAGGTTTTTTGGAATCACCACCATCTCCAGCAGCTCCACAGACTTGTGATTTCTCCCACCCTGTAGCTAAAACCAAGCCTGGAGGTCTGGGGTTTTCATCCCAGGTCAATGGCCATGACTGCTATTTTCCTGTTTGCAGGCTCAAGCAGTGGTGTATGCCATGGACACAGATGTACAGACTCAAAAGGACACCAGTGAGAGTCCTGAACCTCTTGTAACATTAGTCCACATTACACATTCTTTCACAAATTGTAAGGCATTTCTGTTTTCTGGCATTTCTGTTTTCCAGCATTTCCCTTCCAATACCCCTTCATTTCCATCAAATCATTACTTTACAGCCAAAATCATGACTGACAGCAGTGACCTGTTGCTTAGTGATGGTCCTGTGCATACTTTGATAATCAACTCTTTTTATCCTCCAAAGTCCAACCACCAGGACTGGTTTATTTTGTGCAGGGTGTGCCACCACTGTATACTGACTCATTGGCATTGATGTCAATGAAAGAAGAACAATCAGGGGTTCAGGTGACTACCTGACTTCAGCAATATGATTTTTTTTACCTCTGTACTGATCTGTGCCTCAGCTGTGGAAAGACTGTACCAAGACTGCAGACAGATTTGAAAGACTCGAGCAAGTTAGAGAGGAAATGTCCCAGCCCCAGCCAGTATCGACCAGAATCTCTGCTGCTGGGAGCAAGAGCAAGAGCACCCTGCTCAAGAAAGAGGTTACCATGAGGTAACCTGTGGTTTTACCAACATGACCACAGAGAGGATAGACTACTACCTCAGGAAAGTCTTCAAGGATAAATGCCGCTCCAATTTCCAATGGGCAAGTCCACAAACAGAGTAGGAGGCCTAATGTTACTTCCAATCCTCTTGGAGGGCCCTCCAGCTCATGTTTTCTAGAAGTGAGCAGCAAGTACTATGACCAGAACAAGAGAAGCTCTGCCTCCAGCCAGGCAGAGGAAAGGGACAATTGGATCTATTGGACTGTGGGTCTGATGACACTTCTGATCCACAAGAGTATAAGGCTTTGGTTTGACACCAGTACACAATGTACCCCGATGCCATCAAGATAGGTAGGGGTAGAATCCATCTCTATTTCTAGGTTGACAGGGGATCCCAACAGCTGACCACACTGGAAGCTGAAGTGAGCCTGACTGGGAATGGAACACCTCCTTGTGACTGGTCCAGAAGCCCCGTCTATCCTTGGCATAGATTACCTCAGGAGAGGGTATTTCAAGGACCCAAAAGGACATTACTGGGCTTTTGGGATAGCTACTGGAGAAAAAGGAACTTGAATACCTTGTCTGGTCTCTGAGAGGACCCCTCTGCTGTGGGATGAAAAGCAATGAGTACTGATTGCTTCCACAACAGCGCAATGTCGGCAATACCACACTAACCGGCACATCATGATCCCCAGCCAGGACATGATTCGTGAACTGGACTGCCAGGGAGTGGTCATCAAGACTCGCTCCCCCTTTAATAGTCCTGTATGGCTAGCGCATAAGTCCAGTGGAGTGTGGAGACTGACAGTGGACTATCATGGCCTGAATGAAATCACACCACCATTGATGCCGCTGTGCCAGAGATGTTGGAAGTTCAGTATGAGCTGGAGTCCAAGGCAGCCAAGCAGTGCCACCACTGACATTGTTAATGAGTTCTTCTCCATTCCTTTGGCAGCAGAGTGTAGGCCACAGTTTGCTTTTACTTGCAGGGGTGTGGAGTACACTGGAACTGACTGCCCTAGGGCTGGAAAGACAACAATATATTCTGTTTCCATTTGGCTAACATACGAATACTACGGGAAACACTATTACACCATAAAACACTCTGAAGTACTCTGAAGTATTTATTTTCTCATTGATTGCTGGAGCAGGATTCCCTGAGTGGCTACAGTAAACCCACCTTTCTTCACACCCAAGAAAGTTACGGATTTCATAGCAACTTTGTTCCTACCGCGATGCTTAGACAGAATGAATGTATGAGTGGTTTGTTGGGGTTTTTTTCTTGTTTTCTCTTTGTAATCCTCTGTGGAGAAGAGGAATCAGACAGCTCTGAGACTGCAGACAAAGCAGTCCTATGTGGAATAAGTGCTTTAGATGTGTGAAGGGTAAAAGGTAATGTTAGAGGGAAGTACTGTTGCACCGAGGAGGGGCCAAAGCCTGGAGTACTGGGCAAACAGAAGCCTATTTATGAAGATAGCAACTAATTGTAAAGTCACACTGGATTTTAAGGGTAGAGATGCAGAGTAAAAAACTGGAGATCAGAAGAAACAGTTCCAAAAACTCAGATTACCTCCGCTGAACAAAATATTCACTGTGTAGTGCAGGGATATAAGGAGTTTGCTAGAATGGGAGTTTCTGAGCCAAGAGAGCAGAAAGATCATCTCTCTTGGTGTTGAAAATCTTAAATTCATCAGTCTCCTTTCTCTGTTTTTCCTCTCACAGGCATGCGCAGATGGTAATGGATGGAGCCACAGAATGTAACCAGTCCTGTAATGGAATTTGTCCTCCTGAGTTTCAACCACAGTCTTAAGATTCAGCAATTCCTCTTCACAGTCTTCTTCACTGTCTACCTGATGACCTGGTTGGGAAACATCACTATCCTCATCACTGTTATCACTGACTTCCACTTGAACACACCCATGTACTTCTTCCTGGCTTACTTAGCATTCACAGATATAACCAAATCATCAGTAAGTACTCCCATTCTATTGTCAGGTCTTGTCTCCCAGCACAAAACTGTTCCACTCAAGGAGTGCATCCTTCACATGTTTTTCTTGCACTTTGTTGGTGGTGCTCAAGTCTTCCTTCTTGCAGTGATAGCAGCTGACCAGTACGTGGCCATACACAAGCCCTTGCAGTACGTGACAATAATGAACTGTGAGGTGTGTTTAGGTCTAGTGGCAGGGTCATGGGCAGGTGGATTCATTCACTCTGCAACACAGATTGCTCTGCTTCTTCCCTTACCTTACTGTGGTCCCAACACTTTGGACAATTTCCACTGTGATGTCCCACAAGTGCTGAAAGTGGTCTGCATTGACACCTACCTGACAGAGCTGCTGATGACCTCAAATGGTGGACTGATCCTCACAGTAATTTTGGTCTTTCTGCTCCTTTCATACGCTGCCATTTTAGTAAAGATAAGGAGGCAAGTCGCAGAAGGAAAGCACAAAGCTTTGTCTACTTGTGTTGCCCAGATAATGGCAATAAGCATAACATTCATTCCAGGAATATTCATCTATGCTCCGCCCTTCAAGACATTTGAACTGGACAAAGTGGCCTCCATCTTCTTCACTGTGCTTGTTCCAGTGCTGAATCCCTGGAGATATACTGAAATGATACCCTGAGAAATACTGAAATGATAAAGGCCATCAGGAGACTTGTTTCTAGGGTTCTGTAAGGGAATAGCTTTACTCCCTGCTGAATGGTCGCCCTTATTCTTTGTAACTGTTGCAACTTACCATGACTGAAATACCCGAAATTCCAGCAAAGACATTTGCATAAGAGAAACCCTTTCAGAGAACTAAGTCAGAGGAAACTCAACTAAGCTTCCTTTACTTTAAGTGCAGTTCCCACCAATACAGTCTGTGGAGTCAAGGGCAGGTTCCTCTAACACTAAATAAGGTGAGCGGGATATTCTGCTGAAAGACGGTTTTTTGCTGTTTTTTAGGAGGTTTGGTTTTTTTGGTCTTTTTTTCATAAGTAAAGGGATCCTGCTGGCTTTTCAGTGGCATGATTTCTTTTTCTGCTACTATGTCTAATGATGAGTGACTTCTCTTTTTTAATATCAGTCACCTTACATTCTTGTGAGAAAAAAATTAATCTGTTCTACAAAATTATTCTTCTTCAGATCACTTAATTCTTATTGCCACAACTCTTAGGGTCTACTACAGGCTGCCTGACCAGGGGGAGCAAGTTGGCAAGGGCTCTTGCTTCAGGATACAGGACTGCATTTGCAGGTTCTCATCCTGATGAGGGATTTCAACTCCCTGGATGAAAAATTAGTAAAAAATGAGTGAAAAATCTTTGGTTTGGAACTGTTTAATAAGTTGAGAAAAAAAAAAGAAAAAAAGAGACGTGTTGCAAAGCAGTCTCTCCCCAGCAGCAGGCCAATGCTGAGCTATTCTCAGAGCAATGGCTACTTTTTAAAAACTCCCTCCAGTTTCCTTGGCGAGCATGATATCATATGACATAAGATACCTCTTTGAACAATTTGGGTCATCTATCCTGGCTGTGTCTCTTCCAAACTTCTTGCCCACCCCAAGCCTACTTGGGGGTAGGGCAGCAAGAGAAACAGAATGTTTTTGCTATTGCTGTTGATTCTTTTATAATGCATGTTCACTGCTTTATTAGTCAGAAACCACTTTTCCCAAGCAGTTAGTACCTTGAGAGACAGTATTGTCATTTTAGTCACTTGCTAATTATTGTTATTTAAATTTGACAGTATCCGCTTCTCTGGGTTTTTTTCACATTTCTCTGTAAAAGAAAACAACCACACCAAGAAAGGTGAATTTCTCATTTTGAAAGTTGTGATGTTTTATAATCCGCTCTGCGTTCCTCAGTGAGTAGCTTATGGGATCAAGCATTGGAGCAATGACTGATTTTGACCAGGATGACTTCTCTCTCAGTTCTGAGGAAATTTCATTCACTTTTCAGTTTTGTACACAGTAAAGTTGACACTTTTCCCCAGAACCAATCTTGCAAAGTTATCACAGCTTTTGCTGCACTCTCAAACACTTCTACATGCCTTTGCCACATGTCTTGGACAATGGCACATTTGAATTCAACATCATATCCGAGTTATGGTTCATGCACTTGGAGCCAAAAACAATCCCCAAACAAAAAAACCACCAAATTTGAGCATATGACAATAACTCTTGTCCTTTAAGATGCTATATATGGTACAGAGGAAGATCAAGCTTAACTTAATGTGATTACACAGAGCAGTGAGTGTGAGTTGCCCGGTCACATTTGTTTAGAGGGGAAAAAAAAGAACAAACTTCTTAGGAAAGATCTTTCTCTTAGAGGTAAATACGCTGAATCTGGCAGTCCAAGTGAGGTGAGTCTGGTGCAGCTCCATGTCCCCAGGTCAAACCAGTATCAAGTTCAGTCCAACGAGAATGTAGTAATGCAGTAACCGTGAAGAAAAGAGCAACTACTAAGGAGCTTTAGTGTAAGGTAGCTAACAGACATCCATTATAAAAAACACAAAGCGAATTCCATATCTCAGTGCTGCTGAATGCCAAATTATACAAGGTGGTGTTTCTTCTTTTTGGTACCAATGCAAAGAGACAAAGGAATGAGAAATTTGCCCTATGGAATTTTGTAATCTTAAATATTACATTGGAAATGAACGAAGTATGAATGGAGATATGTGTTTGAAAGCCTCAGGAGAAACTGTAGAAAAAAGACTTAAAAGAATATTGTGTTTTAATTGCTACGTTACATTGTATGTGATTTGATTTAAACAACCACAGAGCATCATGCAAAAAAAAAAGAAACTGAAGCAGAAAAGATAAAACCAAGATGAAGAACCAGACTGGACCCATAAAATACCTACACAAGAAGCAGAAGGGCAGTGAAATAGCAGGGGTTTGCACACCTCTGGCTTTCACAACAGTGATAACAACCAGACTGTTTGGACACAAGCATCTTATTAGTTATGGAAGTGTAGAAGCAGAAACAAGTGAAACCTTTGTGAGAATGACTATGAATGAATGAAATCAGGCATTTAGAACTAATATCACCCTCCCTTTCGAGAAGATTTCACCTTATAGAGTGCTGCATTAATTGCATATATCCCAAGGTCACGTACATGCACCTTGCCATATATCAGTCCAATTTCCACACATTGAATTAAATTGCCTCTAAACCTTCAAATGTAGGGATGGTTTTGGAGTTTGTTCTGAATGGAATAGGCAATTTGGCTTGGTTAATAGCCTGAACCTGAGCCTGCAACATTCAAACTGTAGTTTCCAAATTGAGGTTAAGCAAAAGAAATCTTCACTGCCAATGTGGTTATACTGATCTTTAAAGTCTGTCTCTGCCAGGAAGGTTTAGAGGTGTCATCTGACTTAGTTAACTGACCCCTTTTTCTGGAGAAACAGAGTTAATGAAACTTCATTTACACTTCTACAGACTTTCCTTCTGGGAGTTAATGTATTTGTACTTCTGCCAAAAGAGATATTTTTTTTTGTTTGTTTTATTCCTTGAAAAGACAATACTGAAAGAAGCATTTCTTAAAAAAAGAAAAAAAGCAAGCTTAATTGCTCTAATAAAATAACAGTAGTGTAATTAGCCTGAATCACTTTAAGGGACATCACATTTCAAATGATTCAAGCTTTTAAATTCATGCCTCTTTTAAAGATGTTTCAGACTGCAGTCCAAGAAGAAAGAGACATACAAAATCATTCATCAGTTTAGCATAAACCTTTTTTATAACTGCTGCAGGGCCCTCCCATCAAAAACTGTCAGCAACTTACCGTGTTTCCTGAACTCATCTCTTCTGCTCCCTATCTCCATATATCATGTCTGCATGAAAGATACTCCAAATAGAAACTGGCTTGGTAAACCGTGAGACAGGTCTTTGGCTTCTGTAAATCAGAATTTCACACCTAGGAAGGAGCACCGATTTTTGGTATTTTGGAAGGAGCCCTTGATTTTGCTACAGCTGAGCTCACTTACACCATCCTCTCTCCTCTATAAAGAAGGGAAGTTCTGGTTAAATTATGCCTTTTAGTGGATCAGAACTGCACAAATAGACTAAGGCAGAAGTTTGTGGCTGGGTGCATTTCCCCAACCCCAATATTTGAACTATTGATTTAACATGCCTAATCTGATTTCAAGATGGTATTAATTTTATATAGTTTTTCTATGCCTCAAAGAGACAGGCATGGGACTCTGTAGGGGACATTCCCATAAGGTTGATCCAAACCCTAGCATACAGTATTGAGATTACATGAGGAAGACAGAGAAATTTTGGTAAATATGTCACAGAACCCAGTACAGGCATTGTCCTCCTCAGAACCACCACGGCACACGTCTTGGAAAGGTGGGAATTTTTTGTCAGGTGCTGCTGTCCCACAGTATTAGGTTTCTCATGAATTAAGATAGTGCCCATATCTGGTTCCTTAGGTGCCCATCAGAAATTAATTTAAACAATTAGTTTCATTCAGAGTTCACAATAAGCTGTAATAGAGCCAAACTCATGTTTTGAACAAAAATAAAGAAGAAACAGAAGTTGCAAAGGCATTTCATTGGCTCTTCCCCAGTCTTTAAATATTAATGCATATGTATGCAACTATGTATGTTCATCTGGTATGTGTGCACACAACAAACTACACCCAGCATGCTATCCAGAGTAAACAAATGAAATAAATGTACCATATTTGTGATACCTTAGGTAATGTTTCTAATTAATACAGTATGAGTTTTGGTTTAAAAGGAGATCTAGTAAAAGAAAAAAAAAAAGATAAGTAAAAGGTAAGAAAGTTAGTTTCCTTATGTTATGAAGGACATTACCATATCTTTAGATATTACCGTGTCTAAAATATGTTTCACTTACTCTGAATGCATTTTTATGGAAGAACGCATTTTAACAAAAATAATACATTTCAACATTTTCATTCCTTTCTATTAATTATTTTCAGAAGTCTGTGTGAAATGGTATTTTATAACTAATTAATTAACTTTTTTTGACAAAAACGAGCTCTTGACATGCTGCCACAGCTTATGGTTCTGTCAAGATCACCTCCTGGCATGGGAGCACTTGATCTCCTCAAGGAGGTTCTAAGGGCGGTCAAGCCTTGAGCCATGGCTGAGTTACAAACTCCCACAGGCAACCCACAAGTGGGGAAAGTGAACCAGTGAGCATGACCCATGTGAGCTTGGATCATGCAATTTACACATGAATAGCAGGTGGCTTTTCCAAGACTCCTTTATCAAGGAACAAAGGTACAAGGATGTGGGTACAAGGAGTCTCATGCACACCTTTCCCTTTGCAGGTAATTTGACTACAATCCAGCCACCTCATTCCATAAATATGGCACTGTGGAATTAATTTCACTTAACTTTAGACACACGGACTGTATACCTTTAGTTGTGACCTACCCATTCTTTGTATGCAGTGAAAAGAAACAAACACCTCTCAGTTCTGATATATCAGATCCTTTGATATAATGTCAGCACAAATTAAAAGAAAAATCATGGGAAAAGAGAAAGAAAGAGAGAAGGAAGGAAGGAAGGAGGGAAGGGAGGAAGGGAGGAAGGAAGGAAGGGAGGGAGGAAGAGAGGAAGGAAGGAAGAGAGAGAGAGAGAAAAGAAAAAGAGAGTGGAAGAAAGGAAGAAAGGTAGAAAGAAAGAGAAAAATAAAAATAAAAACATAAAGAAAAAGAAAAAAAGGAAAAAGAAAGAAGAAAAAGAAGGAGGAGCAGCAGCTGAGGGACCTGGGTGTGTTTAGTCTGGAGAAAAGGAGGCTCAGGCGTGACCTCTCCAACTCCCTGACATTGGAATGGGCTGCCCAGGGAGGTGGTGGAGTCACCATCTCCATATGTGTTTAAGACTGGATGTGGCACTTAGTGCTATGGTCTAGTTCACGTGGTGGTGTCTGGTCATAGGTTGAACTCAATGGTCCCAGAGATTTTCAATAAAATGCCCAAGTTAACAGGAATCTAAGTTACAGGTTTTCAAGTATTTCACCATTAGGAATTCCCTAACACCAGGAAATGGGAAAAGGGCACGCATTTTAGGCAATCCAAATATGCCCTAAGTTGTTCAAACATTTCTGTAGATTTGCACTGGACTGTTAATGTTTTTTTTTTTATTTTCATGATTACTGTCTTTTTTTTCAGGGTTCTGCAGAATGAAAATGGAACATGAAAACTACACAGTAGTTACAGAGTTTGTTATTTTGGGATTGTTCCAAACCTGTGAAGTTCAGATTATTCTCTTCTCCTTCCTGCTTTTCTATACGATCATTCTGCCAGGCAATGCCATTACCATTTTTGCAATTTGAGAGAATTCCCAGCTGAAATCACTCATGTTTTTTTTCCTGGCCAATCTGGCATTCTTGGGTATCTGCTACTGTTTTGTGACCCTGCCCAAAATGTTGGCTGCCTTTTTCTCACGCCATAAGACCATCTCCTATGGGCCTGCATGGCCCAGCTTTTCTTCCTCCACTTCCTAGGAGCAGCTGAAGCTTTTCTGCTCATGATTATGGCCTTGACCTCCATGCAGCCTCTTTGAGCCTGACCTGTCAGTCAGCTGCTCATCCATCATATTATGGACTCAGTCCTCATGAAACCTTTTCTATTGTGTGCTATAAGAATCCAAATATAGCTGCATATGAAGTAGGTATTATTATTATTATTAATATTATTATTATTATTATTATTATTATTTGCTTATCCCCTTTCTTAACTCTCCTACCTGTCCTCTGGCAAAAGAAAAAAAGTGCCTTATAAAGAGAGCATCTCCTTCTGTCAGAGGCCACAAGCATCCAGCCTCTCTCACCCTGAGTCTTACTCACCACTCAGTAAAGTGTGCGTTCCAGCTGCATGTCCATCAACGCTGTAAAGGACTTTGCTATCATCTCTGCTCTGTCCCTTCTTGCAATCCTTCCACCTGTCAACTCAGTGCCTTGACCACAGCTTGTTTCCTACACATGGTGCCACCATCCCTCTAAACCCAGCAAGAGGCACCTACACCTGGACAGCAGCATCCCCAATCTGGGATGGTGTCCATGATCAGATTTGATGTATTGAGGAAATTTCTTCACACAGGGTTGGCTCCATGGTCCTTGAGAAGCATGATCCTTGAGGAGCACAGTTACCACCATTCTGAGCAGCCTCATGCTTTCTGGTGGAGAGTTTCTGTCCCTTTGCACTCCTGTCACACAACTGACCCTGAAAGCAGTCCTTCAGCACTCCTTCAGAAGTGAAAGACAACCAGTCAGTGTCTATGTCACCTAAGAGCTCCTCAGACAACAGACCAGAAGTATTGACATCCGGCTCCTTTGAAGGGGATTTGGTGGCACCTGCAGTGCACAGACCTCCGTTATCTCTGGCACCTACTACACAGGCCCTTTGTGGCCTTGTTAGCCTACCATATGAGGCATAAGGACACTTAGCTGTATCTGAGACCCAAAGGACTATGCTAATTCTGAGTTTGAGGTCATTTGTAGGTTGGGTGGCTTGGTATTCAGCAGCACTGTGGCAGATCTGGGAACTTCTAAGTTTTCTCCTCCATACAACATCCTCCATGAGGTGATGTCAGATATTCCTGCAGACAGAATTTTCTCTTCTCTACATCCATCCTGCTCCCCCAGGTCTCTTCCTGGTTCCAGGTGGCCCAGTTTTGGGCCTGACATTTCCTCAAAAAAAAATTTTAGATCTTCTATCAGGATCTACAAATAAATTTTAATTTCTTAGTGATTCAGAAACACCACGGGAGGTCTGCCTCCTCACTTGTCACATTTGTCCTTCTTTAGCATTATGTTCAGAATGCCTGTTCCGTGTAGAAGACTCTGGATTTGTAGGAGACCATGATCATGTGAGGATTGCTGAGATAAAACTGGAGGATGGGGCAGAGCAAAGAAGAGGGGAATGGTGTGGGGGCAGAACCTCCATCCCTGAAGCACCCTTGAGTGAGCCCTGGGACAATCTTATCCCTCAACCAGCTCCTTGTTGTCTAATGTGGGACCAGGATGCTTATTTCCAGGACTGATCCTAAAATCTACACAGTCCATCCAAAGTGAGGATAAGAGAGGGAAAAGGAGTACAATGAACCTATATCTGACTCTACTATAAAGACCCTTTGTAACTATGTGACAAGCAGATATAAAAATCAAGTTTGCCAAGCTAGTTTTCTGGTATGCTAACCTAGAGATGAAACTACACTAGATTGCTGAAGAGAAGTGAGACATGCTGGAGTGGAATGCCCAGCTGTGATTTCCACCAGAGAGAACAAGGGCGAGGTTAGGGCCTCTCACATGGTCAGTACCCCGGGTGTGCCATGGTGATGTCTTTGCAGGTCATTTATTGCAGAAAACTCTTATTAGGCTCTAGAAATCACACCATACTGCACATTCCATGGAGGACAAGAAAACACGTGACTGACCTTCCTAAGCTGATGGGAGGTGAATGTTGCCTTCATCTCACACCTAGAAAGTTGCTCACTTACTGAAGGAGAGATGAACAGTTTTCTCATGGAAGCACCAGACCTGATGTCTTTGGATCTGCTGTCTGGTCTGGTTTCTGTATTCCTCCTGAGAGAAATATTTTTCCCAGTGTTCTCCTCATGGCCTTTTTCATCTCAGTGTTTTTCAATGTGTGAGTCATTGGATTTACCATTGGAGTGACCACAGTATAAACAAGGGAGGCCACCTTGTCCCTAGGGAATTTCTTAAAAGGTTGGGCATAGATGAAGATGCAGGGGATGAATATTAAGCTCACAACAGTTATCTGGGTTCCACAGGTAGACAGGGCTTTCCATTTCCCTTCTGTGGTGCATGTCCTTATCTTAAGCAAGATGTCAGTGTAAGAAATTACAAAAAGAGCAATAATAATCACTCTACTATTAAACACTATCTGTAGTTCAGCCATGAGAGTATCAGTGCAGGTCAGTTTGATGACTTGAGGGACATCACAGTAGAAATTGTCCAGTACATTTGGACCACAAAATAGCAGCTGGAGAAGAAAATCAATCTGTACAATAGAATGAAGAAATCCACTGAACCATGCAGTTGCCACCAATCCTGTGCACATATTCCAGTTCATGACAGACAAGTAGCACAGTGGCACACAGATGGCCACATACTGATCAATTGCCATCCCCACAAGGAAAAAAGCCATTGCACCTGCAATGAAACAAAACCCTAACTGGGATCCAAATGATCCAGTACAATATGGGTTGCTAGGACAATATACCCATGAACAATGAAGGCAGATTAGCATACTACCAAGTATGAAAAAACACTATCCTGAAATATCGTAACTAATGATAGGCCTTGTCTGGTCCTTTTGATTTGTCATACAAGAAATTCTTGACCTTAAAAAGGAAATAACTGCATTGAATGACAGTTATCCTAGCCAATAGATTTTCTTTCCCTCCCTGCTGCCCAAGTACTACCGATTTCAATTGTGAGGAATGTGCATGTCTTTGTCCATGTTTCTTAGACTGTGTGTGTGTGCGCATGTGTGTGTTTCGAACCAATACATGCTCCCTACAGGTAGGTAGGAGAAGAGTGCAAGTATGTGGTTGGAGTCTACATTATGGAATTTGGGAGCTACAGTTTTGCTTTGGATTTCAGCTTCAGATTTACAATTTTTTAAGCTGTGAGAGGGGATGTTTGGGTTTGACTGGGAAATCTATAGGAAGGGTAGTCACAACATGTTCCTACAATCCCAGAAAATTGTCCCAGTCAAGTCTCAACCATGGTTCAGTGGAAATAAAGAGGTACAAGGAAGGGAAATGACAACTTTTATTAGGAAAACAGCAATGTCTCCCAATTTGTGAAAGAATGTGTAAGGTGGACTAACAACACAAATGGTGCAGAACTATCAGTGGTTCCAAGAACTCTGAATTAAACTGTCTTTGATACTGTGATGCAACTCAGCAGTCAGCCCAAAGCTAACTGCAAAGCAAGGCACCAGTGCATATCACTCAGCTTGGCTGGAATGAGACCAAAACCCCAGGATCCATTCAGCCTCCTGTCACCTGAACATGCATCTTTTCTGGCTCTACCACAGAGAAAGGGGCATGGAGTGTGTGTGAATTTATCACGATGGAAAGTCTTAACTGTACTCAGCAGATGGTGCTTTCAGATCACACACTTGGATTCAGGTGACAAAAGCTCAGATAAGACCTGTGACATGTGTTTAAGCCAAACACCATGCAGAGGTAACCTTTCAAAAATTCTGAGTTACACATCCAGGTGGGGAGTCCAAGGCCTGGGAACTCTGCTTAGTGGCAGTTTTCTGTGGGATACAAACCCTCTTTCAGAAGAGCTGCAGACTGACTGTTCTTCTTCAGCCACACTTGTTTTCATTTCCAATCACAACCCAAAGCTATTGCAATCATCAAGGTACATACTGGTACAGAAACAACCTAACTGGGCTGGCTAATCAGCTTGGTAGACAGAAGGATGCTGCAGGTCACAATATTTGGGGAAGATGACTGAAGCCTGAGGCCCTAAAAAGGCAGCTGGAGTAACTAGAGCAGCACTGCTGATTGTCCCACATGGAACTGGGTCTGTATGTCAGAGTGGGTCAGCCTGCTTTCATGGACAGGAAACTGAAGCACATGGGAAGAGGAAGGAATCTGCACCTAACTTACAGGCAGCATAGACACAGTCCAAGCAAACCACATTAGCTCAGACCACATTGCTTTCATGGCTATTCCTGATGTCCCATTTCACCTGGCTGTGCTTACACTGACTGCAAGGACTATCTCCAGTTACATCTAGACAGTCATATTCTAATTTTCCTGCCTGGAAAGCCAGAAGATTGCCATTCTCTTTCCAGTATGGACTGAGCAAAGAGGCAGGAAAGTGGACATCACCAAGAGTGATCCTTCAGCTACTATAACTACATTAACCTGACATAAACCAGAAATATGTGGACTGCTTTGTTCTGGATGGTTTCTTATTTCAGAAACAAAGCAGGTCTTTTTATCTGCCTGAACTACCTTTTAATGGAATTTTCTAGCCCCAAATTACATAGCACTAGGAATATTTCCCCAGAAGCAGTGCTATAATGAATTTAACTGCTCTGTGGATTTTACAGAGGGTTAAGGGAAGCATATAGATACATTTCCTTACAGTATGAGATTATGAAATTGCAATCTTCTCCATGAGATGTACTGCTTCCCAAGGCAGCCCAGGTGGCTTGGATATTCTCACTGCCCAGTCAGGGGGAACCCCCTGAACACAAGTACCACCTCATGGGATGAATAAAAGAAAAGCACACTGGTCTGAGATAAGTACAATGAAAGCAATAGCTGAAAATGCTCCTTCAGACTAAAGCAGTGACTTGGGCTATCTAACACCAAGATGACCCAGTTTCTCCTCAGCACGAGCTTGGATGTAGTGGGCATTTAGCCAAGGCCTCAAGAGCAGTCCAGGGACCACAGTCCCACTGCCACCCTTTTCCCTAAAGGCTGGCAAAGTAGTGTTCTTCTTCATCCCTGCCACAGCATGAGGGGCATGCAACCCTGGAAGGATGTAACTCTTGGGACTAGACTCAGCTGGAGGTACTGACACATCAACTTGGTACCAGCCACAAGAAAAGAGATGGCAGAGTCTCCAAACAATCCATATTCAGCACACTTTGTACTCCCATGTGAGATACTGGGATCTGAATCTCACTGAATGACTGACATGGGTTGGAACCAACTCACTGTGAATATGTGTGTGTGTGAAGAAGAGTTGGGCCTAGACCTGCAGCTACATGGTAAGGCCTGCACATAAGGCCTGCTGAGAGCACATGGCAGAGCTGGAAGGCCTGCAGTCCATGCAAAGCACATGGCATCACTGAAGGCCTGTAGCTGGGCTGTCAGTCAAGGCAGACCAGCCTGGTAGCCCACCCACACCACACCCCTGGAGCCTATGACTGGCTACAGCACAACTCACTCTGGCCTGGAAAGCTCTAAAGGGTCAGTAACCGGATATCCTGCCTGGGAGGGAAAACTAAACTCTATAAATACATGAGACTCCATATGAGCCGCCACCTTCTCTCCTTTCCTGCAGCCTGAACTATGTGAACCATCAAATTTTGTCAGTAACCATTTTTCCTTTTCTCTCTCTCTCCTCTTTTCCTTCTCTCTTTCTTTACATTTCATCTGTTTTCTTCTTTTACTCTTTTCCTTCTCTCATCGGTAACTTAACACCAATGAACTGTGTTTTACTAAAGCTGGTATATTGATTGTAGTGAGTGTTTTCTGTGGAATGGGTTTTTGTGCTGAATGTTTTAGTGAAATGCTTTTTTCTTGGTTGAATTTTACTCCTGTAAAACCTTTTTCCAAAATATCTTATTTTTCTCACTAAACTAAAAGAATTTCTCTTAGAGAAGAGTGTTTGACTCTTTCTCCAGACACTAATTCGAGGTTATAATGAACCAAAAGGCCTTTGAATAGTCTTAAATAAAAATGTAACCACTCTGGGCATCTTATAGCTTAAAAACTGGAGTGTAACATCCCCTAAAGATGGATCTTCTCCCACAACCACTGTCCTAGTCAGAACAGCTGGGACCAGTTCATCACTGCGTGGGTGCAACCCAAACTGTGTATTCTACACCCTCCGTGTCATTTCCCAGAAATTGTTAACAATAGACCATTTGCAGCAGCTGCCCAGAGCACACCTGATCCCTCAGGCTATAAACTGGGTGTTAAGAGGCCTGTGAGATAGGAGGATGCTCCTGTCCTTACACCCATTGTGGAACTCTCCGTCCTGAGGGAGGTACTGGGCATTCTGGCCTGAACCTGACGGTGTATAATCTTGGGGTCTTGGGACTTCTGGTACCACCCATAGGATCCAGAGAAGGACCAGAACCTCGACCGGACTGTGACCACCACTCTCAACCAGACTGCGACCATCACTCGCACCAACACGTTTTTCTACTCTCCTTTTACTTTTGGACTCAGGGGATCACATGGAGCTCAGCATGGGAGCCAACAAACAACATTCTCTTCGTGCCCCAGGGTGCTGGGTTATACATCTGGGTTTTTGTGGGCTAAAACCAATTGTTTGTCTGTATAATTGTATTTATTGTATTATTTTTATTAAATTGTTACTCTGACTTACAATCTCTTTTGAGTTGGGTTCATTTCCCCTGACAGTTTACCTTTAAACCAGCACAACCACTGAGATTGAGAAAGGCAAAGCAGAACAGCGTAAGTAGGTTTCTATGTCATCATGAAGGAAAGATGGGGAAAAACTTCCAGTACCACGGAAGAATTACAACAGCTAATAACTACAACCAGTTTCCTGCTGCCACCCACTTCTCAGGGAAGAAGACATTACACCCCCGGCTACTTTGCCAGCAGTTCACATGCACATTGTGGAAAAAGAAAGATGTGCAATTCCACAGCCACAATCCTTTGAGGGGCTTGTGCCCTTCCCCAAATGCAGTGCAGCTAACACAGAGATTGCAGATGGCAGTAAGAGGGATGACTCAAACTGGGGGTGCACACAGGGAGACAGATGGGGAAAAGATCGCTCACTCTCTCTGGATGGGGATGGGGAAGTGTCAAGGGGCAGGGCTCCCCACTTTCACCCAGGCGAGTGCATGTGAGCTCACAAAAACAGGGCCCGGCCCAGCCCAGCCCAGGAGGCCTCAAGCTACAATCTCCTTCAGAGCTCCAGCCAGGTCAGGGAAGATGAAGCAGTAGCCACTCTCCAGGGTGCGTTTCGGCAGCACCCTCTGTCCCTCCAGCAGCATGACAGCCCGCTCTGCCCCAAAGACAGCCCGCACAGCCCAGGCAGGCACTGGCAGCAGGGCTGGGCGCCCCAGGGCTGCAGCAAACTCCCGAGCAAAGGTGCCGTTGGAGGTGGCAGAAGAGGACGGGGCAACACCATTGAGGACACCTTGCAGGCACTCACTCTCCAGGGCGTGACACACGATCCCAGCCAGGTCCCGAATATGGATCCATGGGAAGGGCTGGAGCCCAGAGCCCAAGGGGCCTCCAAGTCCCAGACGGAAAGGCCAAAGCATTTGAGAGATTGCACCACCACCTCGACCCAGCACTACACCTGTGGGGAGAAGAGAGTGAAACCAGGTGCCCTGCCCAAAAGGGTTAAAAGCCTCCTTCATGCCCAGACCTACAAGCAGGAGACACTCCTTAGAGGGTTGGATTGGGACAGGACCTCAGCAAGAAGAGACAGAAGAACTGATAGCGTTTTCCCACCTCTTCACACTTCTGCACCAGAACCAATGCAGTCACCCTTAACAGGCCCCTCAGGGACCTGATCTCACCTGATCTCACCACAACTCCACGAGCTGGGCTCCCAGGGATGAGAGCTGCAGCCTCCCAGGAGCTCACCAGGCGTGAGAAGAAGTCAAAATTCCCTCCAGGACTGTCTTCAGTATACTCAGCTGTGGGACTGGGGCAGTAATAGCCTGAAGGGTAACAGCAGAAACGGGGTCAGGGTTGAATGATGAGACCAACCCCCCCTTCCCCAATGGACCATCTTCCCTGCCTTCAGAAGCCCAGAACTTCTATGAGAAAAAGCTGAAACAATTGGGATTGTTCAGCTTGGAAAAGAAACGGCTTCGAGGTGACCTACTTGTGGCCTTCCAGTGCCTGAAGGGAGCCGACAAGAAAGCTGAAGAGAGACTATTGACAATGACTGACAAAAGGACAAATGGCTTCAAACAGAGTAGGTTTAGATTGGATACTAGGAAGAAATTCTTCCGTGAGAGTGGGAAGGCACTAGTGCAGGTTGCCCAGAGAAACTGTTGCTGCCCCATCCCTGGAAGCATTCAAGACCAGGTTGGACGGGGCTTGGAGCAACCAGGTCTAATGGAAAGTGTCTCTGCCTATGGCAGAGGGGTGGAACTGGATGGTCTTTAAGGTCCCTTCCAGTCCAAACCATTCCGGGATTCTACGATTCTGTGAACTTCATCACTCCCCCAGGGACATCCCCATATGAACAGCACAGGGCAATGCTGATGAGTTTTTCAACTACCGATGTGCTCTATGAGTTCAGTGGGATACACTAATACTGAGATTGAGCTGGCAGCCCCAAAAATCAAGTAGGCCTGCAGGCAACACACTGAACTGGCTGCACAGAATGGCACCTGCACTAAAATTGGGCATTACAGAAGATAAACTACATCAGCTTTCAAGACTGTAGCAAGCAAAAATGCAAAGCTGGAGATATGCAGAGAGATTCAGCTGAGGTGCTACAATTTGTCTAAACAAATCGGTTCTACAGGATGTCTAAAGGCTTTCCCAGGAAAACACAGAAAAGGTGCTGTCCTAATGACACCAAGAGAAAGTGTACGGACCCAGATTCCTCTTCAGCAGTACCAAAAAGTTGATCAAGGTTTGCCTAAACACAGTGACATTGATGGCAATAAAGCTGATATTTCAGGGCAAGATGCGTTCCCCTGGCAGCATGTTTCTGTCTGGAGGTGAAACCTCTCCAGGTCAGCATGAGTCATATCTTGGCCGGGCCCAACCAATACCTACGCCAGTGACGAGGACCCAAGCACGGGGTGGCTGTTCAGCATCAACAATGGCTTTGGCCAAGGTCTTTGTGGTCTCAACCCGGCTGCTGATGACTTCCCTGCAGAAGGTATCACCCCATCTGGGAAAGGGAGAGCCACAGATTATATTCCTCACAAGGACAACCTAGGAAACAACAGCACCAAGCGGGGACCCAGCAGACACCTGCTCACAAGCACATCAGGAGTCATGGGAACTCCCCCCACTCCAGAGCAGCGGGAGGACATGTGACCTTACAACCTAAATGCAGAGGAACTTTGGGAGATGGTTGCTCTTCACTTCCCTCAAAACATTGTGAGTTTTGGACTGCCTTAGGACAAAGGCAGCAGAGCAGCTGGACAACAGAGATGTTGTTCCTCATATAAGTCAAACTTTGGTTCTGATTTTGCATTATTAAATGTAGGCATCCAATGTCCTTTTGGAAAAGTAGAACTAATTTTTCTGACTTTCAGCTGTAGATTCAGAAGGGAACCTTTCTTCCAAAGGTCTCTCAGGACCTAACAGGCCCACAGAAATGTTTTGGATACTTGAGGATACAGATGTCAACAGTTAGTTAACCCAAGAGCTTCCTGGACATGTTGTTTCCTCCCTTTCCACAATCCCTGACAAGCACAGGACTGTCTTGCCTTCACCTTGTCCCAACAGCACTATGGGAGATCAAGTTACCTGCGGAAAGGGTTGAGCACATTTTCGCCAGCCAAGTTGACCACGGCATCGCACAGGGGCAGTCCAGTGCGGGACAACTCTTCCTAGGCAGGAGTAACAGAGACATCACATATCAAGCCTCCCCTCTGCTCAAGCCTTCCCAACAACCAAGCAGGGTAGGCTCCTAAGAACTCCAGCCAGTTCCTTTCTGACACTGCCTGGAGCACAAGCATGAATGGAGAAGGTTTTGCTCCTTGGAACTACAGTAGTACCCATTCCAATGACTGTGACCCATGGAGCACCCAGGAGCCCAAAAGTAGATCCATAGGAGTCAGATTCCCTGCGGCAGATTCCCTCTATGCCATGGCAGGCCAGGGCTAGCGGGCTTTTTCCTCGGCCCTGCCACGGCCCCCTCCTGTGACCGCTCTCATCTCGCACCCAGCTGATCCGATCCTTGCCCCCCTGTCGAGACACGTGGGTCACTTGGTGCCCGCGGCTCCGCAGCAGCTGGGTCAGGGCTCTGCCCACGAAGCCAGTCCCTCCACCTGGGGAGAGACAGATAGGCCGTCACCCAGGATCTGGACCCCGACTGCAGGGGCATCACTGTGGGCCCAGGGCGCCCCCCGCCGGGCCCCGCACCATGGGCGGAAGAGGGGGCTGGTTCCCCTTCAAAACTGCGTCGCGATCACAGGGCTGCCCACGCTCACTGACCCCGCACACTCACGGTCCCCCTGCACGCTCACGGTGTCCCCGCACGCTCACGGTGTCCCCGCACGCTCA